AGCCCTTCTCAGTAATTCGCTTACATCAGTCTTGGTCTTGGGACAGGCTGAATTGAAAATTGGGAAAGATTAACAGGCCTTTGTTTCTGGAGGGGAGGAAGTATGCTTCCGTATACCTGTCCCACACATTGGAGCATTCAGCAGCCTTTGATCACGTGGACTATGTTTTAAACACTTTTTTGTCCACCCTATTGCCATCCAGTCTGTCTCTATAATTTTTGTCATTGAGTCCAAAATTCGGGAACCGTAGGCTGCCTTAGAGGCACCAGCCTGTCAGTTTTCACTTCTTAGAATCCTGGCATGCGTCTTTCCACACCAGCGTGCCACCACTGGCCACATCATTTTTGGCAACACAGGACAATGAATGACTACACCCTGGCAAGGCCCATCCAATACCAGGCCAGGAACCAGCTCCCATCACAGGAGCTGATCACTCACGAGCCTGTGAGGAATTCAAGTAATTATTGGGAGGGCTTGGGTTGTGGCTCAGAAGCACAGTGCTTTCCTGTGTGGTGGGTCCTGGGTTTTCTCCCCAGTACTGAAAAATAAAAAAATAAAAAAAAGTTAACAAAGAATATAGCAGAAGGAACAGTGAGAAAGAGTAAAACAAAAAATGTAAATATCCAAGAAGTTAGCAAAATGTTCTGGACATTTTCTTTTCTTTACTTCAAATTCCTTTGTAACTGTTCCCTGCGTGCATTTGGGATCTGGGAAACTGCTGCTTGGAGTTACATCTCCCAGGCTGACCAAGGGGACGCTGTCTCCTGTCCCCCAGCTTTGGGTGTGTCCTGTCTGTGATCAGCCCTTTGAGCGCCACTCTGGAACCCACCTCCTGAGTCCTGGCTTCTGCTATTAGATCCCAAAGGAAAGAAATAACGTTATCCCACTCGCCTTACCAGATTATAATGACATCAACAGAGCATGCCTTTTAACACAGTTTTCACACGTATTCATTTTACGTGTGAACACGCTATGGCACACATGTGGCAGTCAGAGGACAACTTGTGGGATCCATTTCTTTCCGTCTACCACGTGGGTCCTGGGAGTGAACTTGGGTCGTCTGACTTGGCAGCAGGCACCTTTAACCGTAAGCCATCTTGCTGGCCCAATATCAGTTTCTTCATCCCTTCCTTCGAAAAAAGGGGCCTCCCCACACCACCCCTTTGTTTTGCCAACACTATTAATCAGTCTTTATGGGGAACATTATACTTCATTTTTACACAGACATCTACTGCTGATTTCTTTTTATGACTTCTTCCGAGTTTTTGCACCTAGGAAAGGTCATTTTGATTAATAACAGGTAACTTCATTGCTAAGTGTCAGTTTATTATTTTTCTAAACACTCATAGATTTTTTTTTATTGTTAACATTTTCGCATTGAGTTCATTTGGGATTTATTGTAGAACATGGCATAAGCTGAGGCTCAAAGCAAGACACCTCCTCCGACAATGAAACGCCTTAAAATAAAAATGTCTCTTCCTCTCCCAGGAAAACACTTTCAGGTCGTTCAGGAGGAGGCTGTTGCACTTTAATCTCATCATAACAGCCTTGACCTGATCATCTCCATTCCATCATCTAGATATCAGGGGGAAAAAAAAGCCCACAGTAAAGTGTAACTTCATGTGAACCGGGTAGCTCGAGGACGCCATCAGGACATCGTCTTGCCCGAGCAGGTGGTCCCTCTGGGCTCAGCGCCCTTTTCAGGGAAATCAATTGTCTATAAATGCCATTGCACAGCCTGGCTCAGCTTCCTGATTTGCCCAGGAAGAGTTAGTGAAACTCCATTCCTATGGAGGGCAGGGGTGTTCCACTGTCTTCTATTGACTGGGAGGGGAATGATGGGTAGAAGTGAGGTGGAGATGTTAATGATGCTAATCGCCCCATGTAGCTACATGTGTCCCTTCTAGGCCACTCTGGAAACTAATGAGTCCTCTGCTGAAGGACATCCAATAGCTTCCAACAGGAAAAAACACACAGGGCTGAGATACCTCTCCTCTCAGGGCAGCCAAACCACTTACGGTGGAAACAGCCTCAGTGCCGTTCCAGCTTCACTTAGTCACATGACCCTCTAGGCCAGACTCATCCTCTAATTCAGTGTCTACACCACAGCGCATTGAAACCTGCTCAAAATACGCCAGTCACTCAGCACTCCCTCCCAGGAGATGTCTGCTATTGGACTTCTTCAAAAAGCAGAGACGCTGTCACGCACACTTGCAGACAGCATCACTAATCAGGCATCTAGGGACAAAGCCCAGCCCAGTC